TCTCTATATATGCTGTGTTTGAAAATAATATAAACGTTTGACAGCAATTTAAAACCTGGATCAGACGTTATTTCAATAAGAAGTAGACGTGCCCTTTGAAAATTATAATCAAGATAAAATAAGAAAATTTTCATTTAAATTAAAAAATTATATTGTTAAATATAATTGTTCGTATTTGTGCTATTGAACTATTTCGTATGTATAACACATTCATTTTTATCCGGAAGATATTCCAATTCCAGTCACTTTTTGCAGAGATTGTACACAATGGTACATCCTTAATCTTGGTTTAACTTACTTTTGATTTTCTTGATTTGAAGAATAAGTAAAACATGAAAAAAGTAAATTAGTCCGTCGTTAATTAATTGGTTGTTTGCTTTTTAATCCGGTTAAGAAATTAATATCTAACGATTTTTTAAAACTTGCAGAACCATTCATGTTAATTGGATAGTACTTTCGCGTAAACGAGATATGTATTATATATTATTATATCATTATATTATGACAGAAGAGGCACATACGTAATCGAAATGGAACTTCGAAACGCTAATGCGTCTATATTAATAAATATTTTTCATGCTTTGCGGAAATTATGTGCAATGTGTGCATTAATTAAAGTAATCTCGTCCATCGTATCGTGCTCTAAAATGACGATGCACTCCTTATCGGAATAAAACTTTACAAAGTGTTGTTATATCATGCTTAATGTTATTTGCACGAGAAGCAGTGAACGGCTGTTCATGAAGACTGGCATCGCGATTTTTGAATGTAGGCGTAAAGTAGCGCTATGTAATAACTATGCAATTACGTCCAGCTGCTGGATATTGATAGAGCAGCGCAACCGAGTCTATAAATTAATGCAGAGATCGAAAACGTATAAAGCGATGAAATTATGTCATCCCGTGGGCGGCCGTTACGTTATCTGGCGAAAAATAAAAGCTTGACTAATGATGCTCACGCGGTGTTTTTATCGATGTTTTTCAAGTGGCGAGAGAAGAACCTTATAACCCAATCGATTATTTTTAGAACACAAACAGATTATTATCGTGAAATCAGTCTACGTATTTATTACAAGAAATAATAAAGTGATGTAGAGATGCATTTGGGTTTAATTTAGTAAATCGAGTATATTAACGGTATATCATCTCGTTAATCTCTTGGTATCTCTTGGTATTCGTAAGTCATCTGTACAGCTGTTTAGTCGTTTCTCGGCAGTTACACAATACCGTCTTTGTGAATGACGTCTTTGAGTGTCCGATAAAGCTGACGTGGAACCGTCTCTGCGTTCGATAAGTTTTACAACTCAAAATTAGTTCACGGGCAGAACGATTTTGTTGCAAAATGTTGTGAAATTTTGTTTAAAAATTTAGTTACAGATACAGTTTTGAAAATAATTTTGTTGAACTATCAAAATAATTATATACGACACTCAAGATGGTTGCTAGAATGTCAAAATTTGTTTGTAGTATTGCTCATCATGCTTGAGTTTTCTACACTGGAAACGGAGTCTGGTTGCATTAATTGGAATTCTAGTGGAAAACGAAACAAATCAGAATTTTATTTTTTATTGTTAAATCTATTATAATTCTAATTGAGATAACCAATAATTATGACGAGAATTCTGCTCGATATGATCAGAATTTAGTGATTAGTTTATTTTCAATCAGAAATTTTTCTCAATTTACATAAATATTTTGATGGTCCAACAAAATTATTTTCAGATCTATATTAGCTAGACTTTTAGATCTTTTAGCTAAATCGTTCTTTCCGTATAAAAATTTGTAGATACCGATTTGAAAATGATTTTGTTGGACTATCAAAATTATGTAGAACTCTCAACTGGTTAAAATGTCAAAATTTGTTGTAGCATTGTTTAAAAAATTGTTCTGAGATTTGTGTTCGCCTAAATTTTTAGGTACTTCAATAAAATCGTTCTTTAATTCCGTGTGTGTATCGTGCGTTTGAAAGCATCGGGTTCAGGAAGATAAACTCGTCTGAATCTGGCGGCGGGCTTATTCCCAGTTTGGGCACACAAATCTTTGGTCAAGGATAATCATGTATGCGTTGCGTTTCCTTGCTAGTTACACTTACAAATAACGTTCGGCTTAAGGAACTCGAGATGTTCAGCGTCTCGTAACGCTACAATACCGCTACACGGTCTCTGTTTCTCTCTCTTCTCAACGTTGTACGCCGTATATAGAGATCTTATGATTTCTCGTGTTCGTTTATTTTTGCGCGGTTACGTAAATCTGATTGTTGCAACGGGAATCGAGGCGTTCGAGGGGCCTTAATGAAAACTTTAAGCCGAAATCACGCTAAATACATTCGCTAAAGATTCTCGAATTCTTCTTTCGAAAGCGATATAATTGCACACGATTATTACTCGAGTACTTGAGAAATATCACGCGCGCACTTTCTGCGTGATGTACAACATCTTCATTCATGCTGACCAATGTTGACAGAGTCCAACGAAAGCATCGCTTTTCTCCTCGAAGTATTAAGATTAATACTTTCGCTATTACTTAAAATACCGAGACAATTCCGATTATCGCGGCTCTTGGAAAAACGCTGAACACAAAAATCAAAGTGAATATACGGAAAAAACGGTTTTGCTGAAGTATCATAATAAAGTAACTTATTTACAAATTTAAAACATATTATGAATATATTTAAAATTTAAAACATATTATGAACCTATTTAAAATTTATTTAATTATAATTCAGATATAGATCTGAATATAATTTTATGTGAATCGTTAAAATAATAATATACACTGAAAAAAATTTACTGTATCTTAATAAATACGTTTTTCAGTATTTGCAAGTAAACTTTTACTTATAGCAAATAAATATTTACTCAATGAAAAAAAAAATGACAGTTAAATCAAATTAATGGTTCTTGTATCAAATAAATATATTAACATTCGGTAAATGTTTACTTACAAATATTTAAAAAATATTTATTAAGATATATTAAACTTTTTTCAGTGTGGGACATTCAAACATGTTAAAATTTTTTGCAGCATTGCCATCGACGCTTAAGCATTCTACGTAATTATTTATACGATAAAAAATCTACGATGAAAAAAAACCTATAATAATCTCGACATATTAATAATTTCTTCATTTCGCATGGATGGATGTCTAGGTCGGAAATTAATTAAACGATCTTGAAGCTGACATTCGCCCTATCTAACTTAAGTATAATGAAAATGCTATTAATCGCGGATACGAAGGATTGATCATCGTGATTTATAGAAATGTCTACCGTGATATATGTGAGAGGATATTTTCGCGCCCACGTGTGCATATGTTGAATGCACGAGCATTGAGCGCAGCGACAATTTCATCTGCTCCGATCGAATGCCGAGTTTCACCGGTTTCGCAAACTTGTCGCTCGCCGTCATTCGTCTCGCTAGAGATTTCGATAAGAAAGTCGTCTCTCCTCGAGTGAGTTGTTCTTAATATCTACGAATCTGAGAAACGCGTACGTGTTGACGCGGTAATACATTGCGTTATGGATAATAGAGATAATCGGGCGATGTATCGATACGGCGAAGGACGCTTGTAGGTTTGTCCGCGAACATCGCATTGGGCGGTGATCTGTTTTCTCAGTACAGAGACATCGATATGTAATTCTTACATCAGCATTTTGATATTGGTAGCGCGATTAATAATTTTATCGTACAGTGCATAGTCGTGCACGCAAAAAATATTTTGCTGCTCCAACTAGAATTATCGCTGTTTTTTTGTATCTAATAGAAAATTATGTACAGAAAATTATACTATATTATACTGTATTATTATGTATACGAATAGAATTTATAGCACAAATTCTATCTCTGTCATCTATATGATTAGATGCAATACATATCCAATATCGCAGTACTTGCTAGAAATTTATTTATTTTAGCTAATTTTTCGTAGATAATTTTCACTATAACTGTAAGGTCACTTTTTCGAGTGAAAGCATTACCATATCGTACGAAACACCCAGAGAAAGGTTTCTTCGATTAAAAGAAATATTTCTTTGTTATACGATTTAAAAAAAAATTTCTTTGATTTGAATGTCATTTCTTTAAATCAAATAAATTTTGTATTTATTTAAAAAAATAATGTTTAAATCGAAGAAACATTTCTTTGAATCGAAGAAACCTTTCTCCGAGTGAAGAAAAGTTTCTTCTCGTTGCAAAAAGATATAAAAGCACCCAATTAATTATTGGTGCGTGAGTGTTGATTCTTCTTTTGAAGTCATGTGCTTCTTCGGAAGCGGGGAAGTAACGCTAATCCTATTTAAAAAATACTACATACTCTGTAAAATTCAAAATAGGATCTACTCCATCGCTTAGCCTTTGTGAGTTGATAGACAGTTCGTGCTCAATACTCGCACTTCAGACTCCTTTGTTCTTTAATCACTCGACTTCTTGAATTCCATTAATGCTCCCTCGTAGAATCGAAGCACGCGATATAACAGCAAACGTAGACATAATTACCAGCAAGTACTTATTCGTATGCACAGACGTTCTTCTCTGCATCTCCGTGAAAAAATATGATTTTTAACTATGAGAATGTTCTAACTTAATCCTAATCTAATGCCTATTTATCTTTCTGACTTTAATTCCGCTTTCGACTTTCAATTGCTCTTGTAAAGAGATATTTTTCAAGATATTCTCATCTTGAGTCTTGAATTATTTATAGCTGTAAAGATAACAGCGGACAAGACATTTAAAAGAGAGCCCTTATTTGACGGGAAAGAAACTCTAGCGTTTCGTTATGGGGCTCCTCAGAGAAATTGTAAAGGATCCTCTGCGCGCATAAGTGCACATTCATGTTCATCTATATCTCGAGTGTTTTATTCTTTCTCTATTTTCTAAGAAGAGATTCGTGTCGCATCTTATCGTCGCGCTCTCGCTTTCGATTAGCATTCTCGGTGTGCATCCAGTTTTTGGATGCGTTTTCGTTCTCTGCGAAATAACCGATAGCCTTCCTTTGCTTTTCAGGCGGTACTTAATCGTGAGGCTTACGTCTCTACACGACATCGTTCTTGAATAGCCTGGGAGCTGTCGAAAAAAGTGAAGTGGGTCCTGGAAGAGGACCCAAGGAGAGCGAGGAGAGAAGCGTCGAGACAGGATCCGGCGTGCGGGAACGTCGGCAGGAGCTGCCTCAAGATGTCGTACGCCAATCGATTCCCATCCTCCCAGCACACCCGTTATCGCAGTAGCTGGGGGCCGTCCTCTGTTTCCGTCTTCAATCGCGCCGACGTGCCGCGACCTTCGCCGGAGGAGGAAGAATTCGAGTTCTATCACGAGCGGCTGCATTCGGCGCAGAGTCGTCAGCTGATACCACTTCAGGAGGATTTGGCCGATTGGATCAACAAGACGATAAGTAAATACATTATCCATTGGAAATGAAGCGTATTTCTACGACATGAGTATTGATCGGTAAGAAGGAAAGAAAAACTCGTCGGACGAGGTTTAGGTCACCGCCAAGGTCGGCGAATGGCGTTTCATGAGAAATTTCGATAATGATTAGATATTACTCTTGCTAATTTATGGGAAAAATCAATAGCTGAGGATCTATAGCTTGCACGGAATTCCCAGACCGAGGCCGAAATGACTCAGAATATATTCTACGTCGAGTTTTCCGATAGAACGCCTCCCACGAATTGCTTCCACCAAATTGTAATAGGTTCGTGCTCGTAATTTTGTCGTCTCGATGCCACGTCACGCGAGCATTGCCGCGACAGTGCATCGCGTGTTATCTTGGAAATATCATTTTTATGTAAAGTTTGTCGAGAGCTTACTGAAATTGTGATAAGCATGCTCCTATTTATTAACGTCGAGAGTTCGAGAACGCATCACTCTGATCGTGCGTTTAGAAAGACAAATACACTGTTAGATATCGAAGGAGTAATCCTTGAGTTATAGTCAATCCCTTGAGTTAAATAATATTTTATTATTTTTAACTTCTATGTATGTCAAAATATAAATCGTCCATATATTAATGTATTTAGTAAGTAATAAACTAAATTTGAGTCAAATATATTTTCTTGAATTAAATTGTTTGTTTAACTCCGTTATTTTAGTCAAGATAATAAACTGTATATTGGGTAGGAGCAGTGACGATCTATAGAAAAATCATTCAAATTAATACAAAAATAACTCAAATTAGTAACTTAAACTAATGGTATAATTTGACATTATGAATTTAACAGCGTATAAATATAATATTTGTGCAAAATTCTTATTAACCCTATTTTTTATATTTTTTTTTATTTCAAGAGTCTTTACTTATTCATTGAATCTAATTTAATTTGTGATATTACGTGCTCCAATTTTAGCTAGGATTGCATTGAAAAAGAATCTGATAATAGCCACCAAATATTGAGTGAAATAATGCCAATTAAATGTACAGTTAATATAATCGAACATTTAATTGGCATTTCACTCGATTTCACTAAATTATTTGATAACTATTATCGGGTTCTTTTTTCAGTGTGTGTTTCAAGATCGACAAATAATCGGTGCGCAGTTTGCTTGAATTGTAAGATTCACGCAAAAATATTATTAGATACCAAGTTCCACGTTGACAGAACATGGCCTCTTCGTTTAGTTATGATAACACTAGAATCGCGGCTGTGCCATTTTTGACCTATGTGTTAATATTTCTTTTCCAATTAATCTGTATTTGCACATGGAGCTTCAAATTTTTGTGACTGTTCATAAATAATCATAATTAATTAAAAATCATTTGCATTTTTATGTTAACAAGCTTTCTTCGTGAAAAGCCAGATTTATCTTGAACCGCGATTAAATCAATTTAGACCCGCGGTTTTAGTGTTAAATATAAATATATTTCGCGAATTTATTTAATTCCCCAAAGTATTGTAAAATATTAAATTAAATTATACGATATACATAATTAAAAGTCAAAAATATAGTTTCTCATGACTCTTCCCGTCTGGCTCTCTTAAATGCCGCGTAAGGCGCAAAAAGAAATCGGAGTGGCGTAATACCGTGTAACGACTCGACATTCGCGTCATGTTTGACCACATTTTTTTGCATTCTATCGGGCTTCGCCCGATGTGAAATCACCTTAAAAAGAGTCGGCGGCCTGCCGTGCCACGGGATGTGGCGTGCGCGTGCAAGCCTTATGCAGCTTTGGTGTGTAAGAGCCAACACAAAAGTTAGCATCTGGCGCTTCACGTGGGAAAGGATATTCATAATATTTCGCCTTACACTTCGTGTCTCGGACTGCCATGTAAAAACGTGCGCGCCATGTGTACAAAATTTTACGAAGCTTGCTTGAATGTCGCAAAAACGTTCAAGGATAGCGCCGTAATATATCTGTAAAGTGTTTCATCAAAAAATTTTGCTACTTTACAAGCCTATTTAACAAGTACAGAAGGAACAGTTGTAAAAACGAGCTGCGCGTCACGAGAGCATAAAGAGATAGTTGGAACGACCTAAAAAATAACTATAGGATCAATAAGCAATTGTTCTGTTCACTGTTATGCGCGGAATGTGGAAATAAAATATACTGCATGAAGATCGTTATTATCGGTACTAAATTTGGATAGTTCGAAGTAGGTGAAAGTTTCCGCAACTTTATTAGATTACACATGAAGACTGCATTCCTGAAAACGAGTACACGAGGTTAATGTCATAAAACTTTTCTTTTGAATCTACCTAATCAATCGGCAGTTAGCCTTTCAATTTTATTGATTTAACCCTTCAATGCCATTTTCTATTTGGTATACCAGTCTTTTTTTCTTGTAAAATAGTTTCTTTCAAAATTTTTTATCAATAAAGATACATACATTCGCTTGATAACGTTATATTCCTTAAAGTCTGGCATTTCGATTGAAAACAATTGTTGTTACAATGTGTTCATTTTCATGGAAGCATCATGAGCAATCAAAGTTTAGTTGGATAATCGGGTAAACCTAACTGTACACGGTGTGTTACACTTGTAACAAAGTATTATAGTGTGGCATTTTTGAAAGGTTAAGATAAGATTGATTAATCGCTTGATTTTATCAATTGTGCAACTGTTGTGCGACAAGTTAATTGTTTCTGGTAACATAATAACTGCAACCGAAATTAATTGTTTTTTTCGTGACATAATAATGTACAATGTATCGCATTAATTATTTCATGAGTTGGATAATCGGATAAACGTACACACAAATTCATATCTTTAAAAAGAAACATTGTTTAAGATTATGGAAGAGTGTTTTAGAAATTCCTGCTTAGTCTCTAAAACAAGAAAGAAAAAAGGTGAAATGTGACGAAAAGAGCAGTGGTCCGTGATTCTTTTCCTACAAGGAAATCTACTGATGACTATCTAATTCTAGGCACGCGTGTGTGACCGCCTTTCTGAACTGCTAGTTTCCTAATACGGTACGAATACGAGTTGATGCGTAAAATAGAATTACCACGGTGTACCGAGCCTCGCGGAAAGTAGCAATTCTGACGCTGCACTGCATTTTTTCACGTAACAAACAGACGCGGACTTTTCACTACGCTACCGATCTCCATTCTGACCTTGCAATCTGACTTTTAGCAATTGATCTTGAGAAGATCTTGATTCATCGCTGTGCAATTTTGTGTCGAGATTGTCTCTGAGATTGCCGCTCTAAAGATAATTTATTAATTCCCGTTAGATCGTAATTGGATCGCGTGCTGAATGAGAGATTAATGATGAAAACATTGCTACAACATCGCTAATAGTACCTTCCCACATAATTCGATTCACTTGCGATTGTCGCTTTGCCGTACTTTCACCTTTGATTGCATGTTTACTACGTGGACGCGATTAAGTGCACACATATCGATGACCAAGGAAAGTGCGTCCATAAAATACAGTTGGACGCAGTTTGGCGGACGGAATGTGCGAAAACGAGCGTGGTCTCGCGCGACCTCGAAGGATCCAGCTTTGCGATGTGGACCACCCTGAGAGATTGCGACACGAGTGTGTACGCCGTGAAAAACGAGCGATACGTGAACGAACATCGAGCTCGTACATATATTTAGTCACAAAAGGCGATGCACACGAGTTATATGATTTACGTGACTCGCCTAAATCACGTCGCTTAAAATATATCGATCTTTGATAAACCCTTAGATACTCGGTGGTAGTAAATTAATGCCGAATGAACATTACCGCGTAACGTTTACGATACAACTGTTTCGACTTAAAAACATTCGCGAAATTTGACGTGTTAAACGCAAGATTTCGAGATAAGGGATTCCTGAATGGTCGATAATGAAAATGTTTCTTCTTATTCATTCGCTCATGTTCTCGAACGTGAATTACGTTACTAGTGCTTGAAAGCGCAGAAGACACATGTTTTATTTCCGAAGGGAGAAGCCACTCCTTCGCACGTATCGTATGCACGTAATGTATGCGCTGTAATTTTGCAAATTGCTTTCCTTTTCTTTGGTGTGTAATTTTGAAATCAACCTGGACTTTCTCTTTACTAGAGCATGAATTTATGAATCCACATGGACAAGCAGCGACATTATCGATTATTTGCATTTTAGATGCGAATTAAATAAATGAAACTCGGCGAAAGGATTTAAATCTTTTTGCTTTTTTAAATATCGTTTATGAAGAAAATTTAATATCCTTTCGTTGTTAAATAATTTATATGATACATCGTATCAACAAGATACTCTAAGCGTGATTTTGAAAGGGACACACTTTCGTCGAGGTGTGAGTAAACAAAGAAAGGCATTTAATGAGTTTTCAAAGATTGCGAGAAAGGTTGAAATTTACTCGACCGTTCCTAGCGTGTCATAAGTATGTTTGCTCATCCGAGTTTGAGGAATAGATTTGCTCGCACAACTTTTTCGCCAAATACTGTCTAACGAAGATTAGGATTCTGAAATGGGAACGTAAGAATCTTTTGCAGAAAATTCGTTAAAACTCTGACTACTAATATTTTTCTAAATCAGTTTCTCGCAGTGTTTTAAAATAATTATTATCATTGTTAAATTGACGATCAATTTAATTTGTGATATTTTTATTATTCCAATTTCTGTTTATGATCGCATTTAAATCTGATAGTATTTGGCGCAGAATTTATAATTGAAAAATATATATTAAAAAATTTATACATATATAAATATTATTGGACACCACCAAGATGTTTCGATCATATTTAGTGCTTTTTTATTTAATTGAAAATTTGTTAACTTTTAATAAAATTAGAAATGTTAAAATATTAATTTGATTCCTTATGTTACACCTATAATATTTTACATAGATCCTTGTAAAGATTTACTAATAGAATTACAATAAGAAAGCAATAATGCAGTCTCATTATAGCTATTTAGACGGGTACATGAGTTTCTCCTAAGAGGCTTACACAAAATGAAGAT